GACACTAAGAAAATTCAAGGTACAGAATCACTTCCAAGGACAAGCTGGACTCTTCAGCTGACAAAGAGACATACTGAAAAGAGAGGCAGCTGAGGTCTTCAAGATTCAAAGAGCATCTGGAAGGCCAGACAAGACCCTCACTGTCTCCTCCAGCACAAGAACTAGAGGCAAATGAAAATAAAAGGTAAAATGAAATTAGGCAGACAATAAAAGTGAAGGTAAAGACTTTCTTCATGCAACAAGGTAGAATTGATTGGTAGAATTCCTTACCAAAATATTTTATGAATGCAAAAACTTGGAGGTGCACTTGATCTGTTGAGTCCTACTAGATCAAACTCAACAGGCTCAGGGAATCCTGGCAGGGGAGAATACCTGGAGTCTGGGAACATATAGTGAAGGATGCATGCCTAGTTTCTGTTCTTCCCCACACACCCATTAAAGACGGTCTACTGAGCTAAATGAAGCTTTATTCCAAAGAAGCAAGGCCACTCACGTGATTTTGTGTTGTGACAATTTTTTTCTCCTGGATCAGCCCATAGACAAGTAACAGGAAAGTGGAAAGGATCAAGAAGGATGGACAGATGTACTAGTTTGAAATCAAACCAGTGAGAGATCGCAAGTCAGAATTATAATTTAATAGGAAAATGATAAAAAGAATAAATGCAATAATATCAAAAACACTGACAGAGTCAGAATACAGCCTGGAACCCTGTTAGGGTGATGGTAGTCGTCCAGATGAGGTGGTCTTGTTGAAGCGTGATCCTCTGGAAGAAAGGGGGTCTGGTCTTCAGCTGAAAGTCTAGCAGTAGCTCCTGTTCTCTGAAAGTCCCGTAGGTAAGGGCTGCTGTGGTGTTCGAATTTTCAGCTTATATCCAGTATGGAATGCTTGGCTCCTCCCTCGGGGAGGAGCATCTCACAATGGGATGGTGAGTCATGAGATAAGGCTTTGATGAGCTATTAACAGAAAACAGTCCAGGAGGAAGTTATCTCTGAGTCATGCAGCAAGGCAGTGGTGGGCCCATTAACAGGGGACAATACAGGGGGAAGTTATCTATGAGTCATGGGGCAGGGCATTGATGGGCCCATTAACAGAAGGTAGCCCGGGGCGGGGGGGGGAGGCAGGGAGCACTGCCTCACCTGGTTTCAACAGTACATGAGGATGGTGATAGAATATACTGCAACCCAGGACATAATCCACCCCTTATTCTATTACCATCTACATAATTCCAAATCAGTACCTTCCTTAAACTCTACACACACACACACACATATATATATATATATACAATGGAACCTTACACACAGTTCTCACTTAAAATGAGGTCTCCTTGTGGCACACATCGGGTTTCTCCATCTTTCCGCATTACCCACCAAGTGCAACCAGGTCCTTGAGCGAAGACAATCCCACGGATAGGTTTGCTCTTGCCTGAGGTGGGATTAATCCAAACAGTCTTTCCTAACATACCTCTCATGTGTACCACAGGGACTTTATCTCCATCTACCGTGTGCAAGGGTTCAGACTGGGCAGGACCAGCTCGATTGATGGATCCTCTGGTGTTAACCATCCAGGTGGCCTTTGCTAAGTTCACTTCCCAATTTTTGAAGGTTCCTCCACCAAGTGCTTTTAGGGTAGTCTTGAGTAGTCCATTGCACCGTTCAACTTTCCCAGCAGCTGGTGTATGATAAGGGATATGATAGATCCATTCAATTCCATGTTCTCTGGCCCAAGTATTTACGAGGTTGTTCTTGAAATGCGTCCCGTTGTCTGACTCGATTCTCTCAGGGGTGCCATGTCTCCAAAGGACTTGCTTTTCCAGGCCCAAGATGGTGTTCCGGGCAGTAGCATGAGGCACA